CTAACGAGTTTTTTGAGATACCAGCTGTCTCTCAGGCGATTGTTTGCATTGAGTTGACAGAGTAATTTGAGTTAACGAGCTCCTTAACGAATTAAACTCGTAAGTCAAGGCCCCACTGTATAAAGATTTCTTCTAATTAATTTCCTTTCAATGTGCACGATTCCATGCACCAGGCCACTAGTAAATTCAATAAAAAAGAAAGAAATAGTCCTGTCTGGTTTGGCTCAGTGGATAGAGCATTGGCCTGCGGACTGAAGGATCCCAGGTTTGATTCCAGTCAAGGGCACATGCCTGGGTTGCAGGCTCGATCCCCAGTGTGGGGCATGCAGGAGGCAGCCGATCGATGATTCTCATCATTGATGTTTCTATCTCTCCCTCTCCCTTCCTCTCTGAAATCAATAAAAAAAAAAATATTTTTAAAAATAAAGAAAATAAACAAATAAGCACTGGCCTGTGTTGCTTAGTTGGTTGGGATGTCCATCCTGTACATGGAAAAGCCGTGGGTTTGATCCCCAGTAGTTCTCTCTTATCAATGTGTCCCTCCCTCCCTCCCTCCCTTCTCCCTTCCTCTCTAAAAAAAATAAATCAATAGAAATATATTTTTCAAAAACACAAAAAACTTACCCCCCAAATATAAGTAAATAGAAAAAAACAGAAGTATCTAATACATTTGGACATAAGCATAAAAAAAATAAAAGGCTATCACTGAGCCTGGCCTAGGGCAAGAACTCAGTGCACAGCAGCAGCAAGCATACACCATTTTTATGATAAAAGACACACAAGTACCATTTTCCTAATGACAAATGGCAACTCTAAAGGCTGTGAGAAAGGCCAGGTCCTCACCTTCCAGCCAAGGGCGTGCAGCCCCACCACAGCCCCGTAGTGAGAGCAGAGAGGCCGCACAGGGTCTGCCAAGACCTTCTGCAGGGACAGCAGGATCTGCTGATAGAGACCACTGACAAGGTCCCCATGAGTCCTGTGGGAGCAGCATGGTCAGAGGGGCTGAGGCAGTGCCTGCCCAACAAGGTTCAAGTCACAGCACGCGGAGAAAACGGCACCTGCACGGCACTGGGGGAGTGAACGAGGGGCCAGGGGAGACTGCCCGGGACCTGAAGCGGAAGGACCAAATCCTCGGTATGTTTGTCATTCACCTGTCGCATCCCAGTGCACCACGGCACACTGACCGCACAGGGTCTGCCAAGACCTTCTGCAGGGACAGCAGGATCTGCTGATAGAGACCACTGACAAGGTCCCCATGAGTCCTGTGGGAGCAGCATGGTCAGAGGGGCTGAGGCAGTGCCTGCCCAACAAGGTTCAAGTCACAGCACGCGGAGAAAACGGCACCTGCACGGCACTGGGGGAGTGAACGAGGGGGCAGGGGAGACTGCCCGGGACCTGAGGCGGAAGGACCAAATCCTCGGTATGCTGTCATCCACCTGTCGCATCCCAGTGCACCACGGCACACTGCGTAGGAAGCTCCCAGGGAAGGGGCTCCCCACCTCTCAACACACGGCCTCCAGGGCAGAATGGACCCCATCTCCTCCCCCAACCCACTCAGCTCTGCAGGTCCCACCCTTTACTCCGCTCGAGGCCCAGTGGCTACCAGAAGATGTGGCTGAGAAGGAGGGCGGCACCATCCCGCAGAGTCCAGTGGTCATTCAGGGGGTTGATGGAGGCAGCCAGGGGCTCCAGGACGCAGTAGAGGACACTGCCCACCAGAGAGCGGACATAGGGCCCCAGGCAGAGGTGCGGGTTGCGAACCAGGCTCCGGGCCACTTGCAAGAGCCGGTGCAGCTGCTCCAAATCGTGGCTCACAGACTTCACCTGTTGGGGGAAGAGGATGGCTGAGGGGCACAGGAGGGGGTCCAAGACCCTGCATTCTGATGGCACCTTCCAGGAGCCCCACATGCTGCTGGGTCACCGCCTCCCACCAAACGTCCTCCCCGGCCCCGCCTGCTCACTCACCCCACTGACCACATAAACAAAGTAAGGCAGGAGCGCTGCGATCTTGGAGTTGGTCTGCAGGTCCTGGAGAGCAATCTGAAAAGGAAGGGGCAGCCTCACTGGACCCACCAGCCCCAGGCAGAACTGCCTTTTTATATATATATATATTTGTATTGATTTCCGAGAGAGAAACATCCATGATGAGAGAGAATCATTGATTGGCTGCCTCCTGGACACCCCCTACTGGAGATCAAGCCTGCAACCAGGGCAGGTGCCCCTGACGGAATCGAACCTGGGACCTTTCAGTCCACAGACACTCTATCCACCGAGCCAAACCAGCTAGGGCAGAAGCCAACTTTTTTTAAAGGACAGTTTAGCAATGACATATTAAAGTTTTAAATGTTTACACTTTTTGATTCAGCAATTTAACTTCTATAAATTTAACCCACTATAAAAGAAACCCACACACAGCACAGTCTGTACTGATCAAAAATTGGCCCCAGCTGGCATGGTTCAGTGGTTGAATGTCCACCCATGAACCAGGAGGTCACGGTTCGATTCCTAGTCAAGGCACCAGCCTGGGTTGCAGGCTCAATTCCCAGTGTGGGGTGTGCAGGAGGCAGCCAATCAAGGATTCTTCGCATCATGGATATTTCTACCTCTCTCTTCCTCTCCCTTCCTCTCTGAAATTAATACAAATGTGTATTTTTTTAAATAATAAAATTTTAAAAAATTGAATGCAACCTAATGCCTTTTTTTTTTTTCATTTCAATTTTTGTTGTTGTTTTTAATCCTCACCTGAGGATATTTTTCCATTGATTTTTAGAGAGAGTGGAAGAGAGAGGGAAAGACAGAGAGAAACATCGATTTGAGAGAAACACATCGACTGGTTGCTTCCTGCACTGTGTCCTGACCAGGGCCCAGGCCAGGGAGGAGCCTGCAACCAAGATACATGCCCTTGACCAGAATCAAACCTGGAACCCTTTGGTCCACAGGCCGATGCTCTATCCACTGAGGCAAACTGGCTAGACTAGAGCTTCATTTCACTTTAAGTTAAATTTATTGGGGTGACACTAATGAAATTATATAGATTTTAAGTATACGATACATCACCTATGATACACTGCATTGTGTGCCCACCACCCAAAGTCAAATCTTCCAAGATATTTTTAACTGAGAAAAGCAGTTGTTCTAAAACCAGGCGTTTTGGTAGAGCCCCATGGGCTTGTACTAGAGCAATCACTGTTTATACATAGAAAGAAGGTGGGGTTCCACAGGAGACTCTCACTTCCTACTTTGTATGTCTCTATGGTACAGTAGTTCCACAATAAACATCTGCTGCCATTACTTTTATACGCAGAAAAAACACATTAGAGTAAATGAAGAAAATCTTGTTAGCCCAGCACCTCCGCCACCTGTGCCCTCCAAACCCCTCTGGATAAAGTCCCAAGGCTGCGGCTGGGGAAGCAGACGTCAGGCCCGTGGGGAGGGCGTCAGCTCCCAGGCCCGCAGCCGGCCCTGCCCTGTGCCCGGGGAACAGGAGCCAAGCCTGTGAGGCAGGAAGGGATGGGAGCAACATTCCTCATCTTCAAGGGAAAAACAGCAGCAGCCAGAGACGTGAAGACGTGGAGGATGGAAAACCCTAAAGCAGAGGACACGTGGCGGAGCAGCCACCAAACTACCCTCGGACTTGGACAGACAGGACTCCCGGGCACTGCCCAGCAGGCCTCGGAGCCCCAGAGCCTAAAGCGGCAGGGGCTGGTCTGAGGCCTGGGGAGGTCTCAGAGCAGGCCTGGCTCCCTCTCCTTCCTCTGCTCCCGACCGCTCACCCCCACCCCACCCCGATCTCAAGTCCAGGCAAAGGAAAGTTGCAGTGTTGATGCCCCTCTTAGCCCCAGGCCCACAGACACTCCGAGAGTGGGCTCTGGGACTGAGGTGTGGGGAGGCACCCCAGGGCCCTGCTGAGCTGCCCATGCCCTAAGGATCAGGGCTCCTCCTGGCCTAGGAGGGGAGTCGGCACTGGAGGAGGCCGGGCTCAGAGCAGCACACCCCGGGAACAGCTCCCACAGTGAGCAGAGGACAGGGAGAAGGCACCCGAGAGAACTTCATGAGAATTCGGAAGTTGGACTTGGTGTCCCAAACGGGGGCCCACTCACTACCTTCATCAGCTGTGGGTCGTCCCCCAGGACAGCGCGAGTCACTTGCTGGTAGTACTTGAGCAGGTCATCGGTCAGTGAAGACACAGCGCTGGGCACTGCAAGACGATGGGCAGGAGGTGGTCAGGGTGGAGAGCCTAGCCCTCTCTCGGCCTCCCTTGCCTGCTCCCCCACAACCACCATCCCCACCCCCACCCCCAGGAGCCTGTTCAGACAGGACCCCCAGAGCACAGAGCCGCCAGCCCCGCTGAGCAGCCTGACCTTGCAAGCTCTCCGCACCTCTGTGCTCTGTGCGCTGCCCCCACCCCTCCTCTGCTCAGCAGACCCTGGAAGTGAGGCACATGCCCCAGGGACCCCACGTGCTGCTCAGACTTCCGTGCTCGCACCCAACACGCAGCATCACGACTGGTTACAGGAATGAGCCCCTCTCTCCAGCGCTGAGCCCTCTGGGCAGAGACCAGTGCCCACTCAGAACCAGGTGTCGATAAGTATTTGTGAGCTGAAGTCTCAGGGGTGTAGAGGCACTGCCCTCAGCTCCTGCGGGAGGAGGGTTCGACCAGGGGGCCCGCTCCCCACAGCGCCCCTTACCCGATCCTTGAGGCGCCAGGTTCCCTTTACCGTCCAGGTAGGAGACGTGAACTGGAACCAGAGCAGAGAGAGGGCTCAGCCTGGGGCTTTGCCCTCGTCGTGCCACACCCGCCCCCAGTTGTGCTCCACCCACCAGGCAGCCCAGCACCACTCCCCTGACAGCCTCGCTCTCACCCCCGCTCCACGAGGGACCTGCATTCACCTCTCACAGCCGTCTCGGCACAGCCTTTGGGGATGTTGGTGGCCAGGGCCAGCTCCACCAGGTTCACCTCCCGGTCCTCAGGGAAGTAGAGCTCACCCTCCCTGACGGGGCGCAGGGGCAGCGCCTCCTGGGCTCCGTACCCACACACGGCCTGGCAAAGAGAGCGGAGAGCAGGCTGACCGGGAGGAGGGGGCTCTCCCGCCGGGCAGGCAGCCTCACCCGTGGAAAGTCCAGACTGAGAAAAG